CACAATGGCCACCCCTGCAACCGCAGCCCACTGGCAGCTGGCCCAGAGGGGCAGATGCCTCTACTGGCTCTGCAGTCCCCATCCAAATCTGGCAGGTGCACAGCAGGTCACATCCAGGCAGCAGCCCCCACTGCCAGACTGTTACAGTGGGTAGAGGGTGCAGGGAACTCTCAGGGCTGCTTCAGCAGTTCAGCTGGCACAAGGGGTAGTGTCCCCAGGTACCAATTGGCTGGGCTCCAGAAGCTCTGGAGAGCTAATAGCCCTGAGCTACTTGCCAGGGTGGCTTTTTATACTGCTGGGGCCAGGACAGGGCAGCTTTTTATACTGCTGGGGACAGCACAGGTGCTGGCTGTGGGCTCTAGCTCCTCCTGACTGAAGATCTGGGAGGAGCCAGGCAGGGTTATTTTGCCCCAAGTGGCACAATTTGCTCAACAACAAAGTGCATGTCTGAGCACGTGTGCTGAGGCAAAAAGCCCCCAGCTCAAATTTGCGCCGCTCCTATCTGAGCTGCTGCAAACGCATGTGCTTGCATGTGTGGACGCACCCATCAAGTTCTAAAAATGTACATTCCACCTCAACATAATTTGTGCAGGCAAGAGAATGGGAGTTTACTTCCTGGAAAAAGATCATGAGATGCTCCATATTATGCCAATGGAAGTCACTTAAATCCTTTAGATTAACACGCTTGTCTTTTTGATTGTTTCCTGGGAATTTAGGCCCATTCACCTTTCCGAACTTCTTTCAGCATTCACATAGACTAGACAACTTGCTGGATTTTAAACTGAAGCTGGCATTTTCATGCCATCACATGGTTCCAGGACTTTTAGAAAACTACTAACACTTTCTAAGGCTTTTAAAAAACTACTAAATATCACAAGCCTATATTTAATTGGTAACCCTGCATCTCCCTCTTACCTGACTGTGAATCCCTCATCCTATTACTTTCTTCTGGGGCCATAGGAACTTCCTGGTCAATCTGTGCAGAACCAGAACCATCGTCTGGATCAAAAATTTCTCTGGCATCATCATAACCATCTCTTGTGGCACCTATGAGCAGGGCACATGGGAAAGACAGAAATTAATGGAAATAAAGAGCTACCTCACTGAGGAGAGAAATAAATGACATGCCAGGGGCAAAGAGCAGAGGTACTTATGCAGATTCCATGATAAGAAACCCGAAGTCTCTTCTGCCAAACTTACGGTCAGATGTGTACTATGCTTGGCACATTTATTTGATATACTTTAAAGACTTAATGTGCCTGTCTACTGCTGTAAGGAGCTGAAAGCAGAAAAATCAGCTAGCACATGTGGGGAAGATATAGGAGATCTGGAAAGAGGAGGCTGTGAGTATGGTCTCTTTCAAAGGAATGTTTCCTCAGTGCACTTTTTGCCACACCAGTTACACAGATGAACAAGCCTTTAATTTGCCCTCTTTATCACCCACATTCTATACTTTCCATCAGTTTTTAAACATTTCATTTTGTTACTGTTACTAGGCCTCTAATCATTTTTTTTCCACTCTGCTGGACCCTTTCCAATCTATCCACACCTTTCTTGAAGTATGGGGTCCAAAACTGGACACAGTATTCCAAGTGAGGCATCACCAGTGGTGAACAGAGTAGAAAAATCATTTCCTTTGATTTACAAAAGACACTTCTGTTAATACAACACAATATACTGTTGGCATTTTTGTAACAAAGGCACGCTGGGCTCCTATAGACGTGTGGGGAGCCTGGAGCATGGAAACTGATGCGCTCTTGCATCCTTCCATGTCACGTGTATCAATGTCCCTAATGGCAGCAGGGCGCTTTCCACTAAACCATGTTTGATGAGCTTTAGCTCAAAGCACCCCGCCACCATTTTTGAGCTCAGGGACACTGACATACATGCTGAACGGGTCCTTTCAATTAGCACAGCTCACTAATTAAAGTGCCTGGCACTGCGCCCCAAAACACATGTAAAAATGCCCACTGTTGACTCATATTCAGTTTATGATCCACTGTAACTTCCGTGTCCTTCTCTCCAGTACTGCAGCCTAGTCAGTCATTCTCCAATATGTATTTGTGCATGCACTTTTCTGTCCTACGTGCAGGATTTTGCACTTGTTCTTGTTGAATTTCATCCAATTAGCTGGAGAACGGGTCTAAAATCAATCTGGCCATTCTGAATCTTAGCCCTACCTCCAGAGGGTCTGCAACTCCACCCTACTTAGTGTCATCTGTGAATTTGCTAAGCGTACCTTCCACCCCATTGTCCAAATCATTAATAAAGATGTTAAACAACACCAGACCAAGGACAGACCCCCTGGGGAGCCCTACTTAATATATGCTCCCAGTTAGACAACAAGCCATTGTTGACTACTGAGCACAATGATCCAACCAGCTATGTATCTTTTAAAACTGATTTGATCCCACTGTCAGACATTAGTACTGGAATGTGAAATAGAGCAAGCAGAAATGGATGTATTTACAGAAAATATCCACCACTCTTTTCCTCCATTACCTTGTACTGATCCTGGATCACTTCCATCCTCGCTGTCCCCAGTGTAATACTGCAACTTTGTCATAGAATCCTCTGAATTGGAGACTGGAGATAAGAGAAACAGTATGCTATGAATTTTGATGAACTAACTAGTCACCAATATTTGTGGAAGAGGGAACCCACTTAGCAGAGCAATGACTGTGGGAGGGAAGCACAGAGTACCCCTTCCACAGGTGTTGCAAAGAAGCCTTGTATGATCATTTTGCCTAATCCCAAAGATCACCACTTGCCTATCCATAGTTTTGTATGCTTTTAGGGCCAGATTCTGTTCTACCCTTTGTACCTTGGTCAGGATGGAAAGTGAATTAGATACTTGATCCCTCTTAGGAAGGAGAGAGACACAGACCTGAATGATAGAATGTGTTCTGCTTCTTTGCCATCACATTATAATCAATCTCTTCATATACAACCTCAGACAAGGGATCCAAGGGTCTTTTGGAGCCTAAAACCAAAGGAAAGTGTTAGCACAGGGTCACGAAAACAGAATATGGGAAAATGTTATTATATCACCATCCAGCCTTTCCCCATGGGACCAGTTTGACTGCTTGGTTCAAACTGATGTAAATGTCCCAAGTGATGAGGACCATGTCCCTTTCAACAACTTCCTACTAGAGATTATTTCATAGGCTATTCCTCCATCACAAAATTTCTCTGCATATGGAGCTGAAGCTTTCCCTTGTTACTTTCATCTCATTGTTCCTGGTTATTACCCCTTGCCCCATTTTAAATAATTCCTCTCCCACCCTGGTGCTTACACCTACCTGTTAAAAATGGCGGTAGGTCACTTTGTTAAATGGGAATAGTAATACTTAACTTTTAGCTTTCCAAAGTGCTTAGAACTAATGAGTCTGCTGTGCTTTGCAGGTGTAAGAGTGCCACTATATAAGTGCCATCTGTGAAAATAATTGTTGTGTTTGGGGTCAAGAGAAGTATCAGCTGCCAGATGAGTTTCTCAAAATTAGAGAAGACTTACACAGGGACAGGTACTCCTACAGGAACCCACCCTAGGCACGAGTCAAAAATGCTTCAAGAAAACTCAGAAATGTATCCCATGGTGGCTCTGTTCTTGCTCCCCATCAGAACACAGCAGTGTGCCCTTCCCAGTGTCAGTACTACACCAATAACACCACATCAAGTTACATTCCTCCCAGCACATTTCTTTCCCAAGAGCCTCCTTTTGAGTGAACATCTCTTCTGTTCAGAATGTTTTTTCTTTATATTTTTTAAACACCTTTCTAAAATATTTCCAGTTTCTCTTAGTCCTTTCCACTATTTCTCTCCTTGCTACATTAACACCTTCTTGTTTAATTTCATTTCCACATTTTTTGCTAGAGACAGATAGTGACAAATGAGCTAATGCATCCACTCAGCCTCCCCAGCAGCTTTCAAGACCTTATCCTGACACCCTGCAGCACACCTTGTGATTTCAAAGAGGCATCTCAACACACTTAAACCAATGGGGACTCACCTCTGCGCAGTGCCCTCATGCGTCGCACCTGTCCCCACAAAACAATTAAGACTAAGCATAGGAGGGCTCCCAGGACAATGCAAATGACAATGGGCAACATGTTTCTCCCAGTGTTTGATGGAGGGAGGCGGGGAAAATCTGAAAGGAAATGGATGCAAGAGGTAGAGATTATTTTGTGAGAGTCATGTGGGCCTCTCAGAGTTTCCCAGGTTCTTAATGGGCGGCCCATGACAGTATAGTTATACATTGCCATACACAAGCTAAAGCCTTGACATGACTGTTTATCATGGAGGAAGCTCATATGTTGCTGTGTGACTCCCAGTCCTGATCTCATCAGCCAGAAGATAGGAATGGCTCCTCCTCAGAACTTCCTGCAGCTCCTACCCTGTTGATGTCATTCACACACCAGGTATCAGACTGAAAATTACAACTCACCCCCACCCCCTACAACACTGTCATCCCACTGTGGCCCTGTGACACTTAATCCTTGCACTGAAACTTCCAGGTTCTCCATTCCACTGCTGCGGACTCACCAATTAACAGAAACTGAATAGCCTTTATTCACCATCAGTTGCCAAGTAATGGCTCTTTCTTAGCATCCTAAGACAGTCAACACTTGGATAGAAGGGATGGGGATCCCTACCTGTTTTCAGTGGGGATGCTGTTGTCTTTATTGCACCTACAAAGGAAAGAGAAAAGTAGATGAGAGTTTTTTACCATGGGGAAAGTCCCTTCTGATAGACTTCATCGTCAGGTCTCTAGGGCCTTCCTCCTAAGCCCAAGTTTACCTCATCCACTCACTACCTCCAGTATACACCAGTTACAAAAAAATTGGACACAAAAGACAGCTTGGAGAAGCCCTGAGTGCATGTCCCATGGCTGTGCTCAGAGCCTACATACCAGAAGAGGCTGGGAGTAGGGAAAGAGAGATAGGGAGGCATTTTCAAGCCATTTACTCTGGCTAACAGCCAAGCTCTGAGGCACTAATGTGAAAGGGAGTTGCCAGCATACCTGAGGTTGTGAATTAAGCCATATAAACATGACTATATGTCTCCACACATCAGCTGCCAACTATGTATGATTTTCCCTCCCATCCATGTAGAGTCTCTTGTGCAGGACTCAGTGCCCACATCCTGGGTTTTGGAAGCGATGAGAATAATAGTAACAAAACAGTCCACCTGAGCCTGGGACAGGAGCATGGACTAGGTGCATTAGCACAGTGGGGGCCAACCTTTTTGTTAGGCATGCCAGAAATTAGCGTCACAACCTCCACGGGTGTCACTCCATCATACTCCTGCCTGATCAGCTGTTCTGCTTCCTGCTCTGCCCAGTCTGCTGCTCTGTTTTTGCTCCTTGCCATATCTGCCACTATGCTGCCTGTTCCCTTCCCAGCTGTGTACCACACACAGGGGTTGCCCATACCACTTGTGGCATGTGTGCTGCAGGTTGGCCACCCCTGCATTAGTATATCTGGACCCAAAGGTTCCACCACACCTGGTCCATAAGATTCCTGTGTTTAGGAAGGAGCAGCTGGTGAAATACATACCCTATCCCTCCCCCAGTACTTGCACAGAATTTGTCACTCACCGGAACAGTTCACAGCAGCACCTTCCTTATGGTGGCATTTACTATCACCCCAGGGTTGGGCTGGACACTCCCAAAGAGATGACTCTGCCCCTCTACAGCTCACTGTCTCCAGCCAGATGGGACCAGTCCCCTTCCCAAATGCAGACTCATTCAGGGCAGACACAGCAGGTCCACAGCCCAATTGTTTACACACAACATCCGCATCTGCCATGTCCCAGGAATCATCACACACCGTTCCCCAAGAGCCACGGTGCCAAACCTCCACTCTCCCCGAGCATACATCCTCTCCTCCTACAACACGAAGCTTCTCCTTGTCTGGAAACAGCAGAAATGTCATATGTTAGTAGAACCACTGGGAAAGTCCTTAGGAATTGAGAAAGAGACACAAAGAAAAGAGAGGTACCTGTGCAACTGGTAGAGTATGGGCATTCAGTAAATGGGGTCTGAGTTGTTTTCTCTTTTATACCTATAGAAATAAAAAGCGAATGTGAATGTATTGCTTAGTATGTGTGATGCAAAAGAATGTAGAATATAGCTGTAGACTAAATCCCTAATTTTATTTTCTTTATAACTTAAAATCAAAATTCTAGCTTATTTAACACTGAAGGGATTTTATACTCAGCTGTTACTATGGACTATAAAACTTTCTTGCTGCTCCCTGCTGGTTGTGTTTGTCTGTGGGTATTTGACACTTTCTTTTTCACCCTGTGTGCAATAACTCTAGCGTAGGAATCCACAAGCAAGAAATACTGTCATTAGAAATGGCATCAAAAATGGAGTTTTAGATCCAAAATCACATTGCTCTTTCTCCGTCTCCTTCACACACACACAAACACATGCACATGTGTCTACACAGTTTTGGGGGAAATTATGACCAGAACTTTGCAGCCTGAGCCCATCTTGGATTGTTCATCCCCAAAAGAGTTATTACCACAGAACTGCAAAAATGATGATTTCTAGTGACGGGCTGTGTTGGAATCTCACTAGTTGGTTACTCCAGGTAAGGCATGTTTGGTGTAGATAATTAATTAACTCCCAGGTTGGTTTTCAATGAAGGATGGAAAATAATGAAAGTATATGTTTGTTTTATTGCTGAGACTGTAAATTGTTTATATCAAAACAACAAATAACGATGACATTTCTACCCCAGCATATCACTGAGCTAAATACATAGAAATAAATTCCATTTCGCCAACTAGGGATCAGATTCTATTCTACCAGTTGGGCTTCTAATTAGACATAGATGCCTAATGTGATCCTATTCCACTCTGTTCAGGTTCTGATATTCCATTAACAAATCTATTTTTGTAACAACTTCCACCTTAGCTTTCAGAAGGAAGAGGATGACTCACTCACCTTTTGCACTGATTGGTTTTCAAGTTTCTGGGTCAGAATGACATTAAATCAAACTTAGATATCTAAGTCTACTTACGTGTCTAACAGGCGGAGTAGAGTCTGGCCCTTAATGTCTAATATATAGGTACTGACAAAATCCTAAGGTACATGATCAGAGAGGCCTTCTGCTCTGCCTCTGTCAAGGCATAATTCTCCTCTACTTTCAAAGGGTCACAAGTACCAGCATGTGTCCCTGAAGATGCATTCTACTTCATCCTGAAAGGGCACACAACTCTCCCATTCATTGCAATGGGCAGCACTTAGACACCTCTAGAGACCATCCCTCAGGTCTGCAGAAGGTAGGTGATCCTTAGTGTTCTGCATTCTCGGTTTTTGGGGGTTTTTTTTTAATCTGGGAATTTTTCAGGGTTTATCTTCGAAACATAAAAACTGGGATGAAATCGGGATAAAAGAAAGAAAAGGGGAAAAAAATTAAATCAGGGAAAAATTGGCAGTGAGGGAGTGAGGAAGTAAGGCTGTGACTAGAAAAGGGGCAGGGAAAGGGGTGTGGCACAGCCCATCGGCTGCTCCTGGGGCTGCAACAGGGAGCAAACCAGGGGGAGCTGTCAGTGGGTGCAGGGTGGGGAGGTGCAGCTCTTGCTGCTACGCACCCCCAGGAGGACTGCAGGCTGTGGGGCTGCACCAGGCTCTTCCCAGGGGCCACATGCCCCCAAATCTGCGCTTGGGATGAGAGCAGGCTGCTGCCCATCTGAAGCACCAGAGAGAGCCTGGTGTCACCACCGGCTCCAAGTTGCAGGGCAGAGCTGAAGCTGGAGTCACCAGGGTGCCGCTTGGACCCGTCTGCCCTGGGAGCAATTCCTGCGGCCTGGCCCGCCCCACCTGGGGTCAGAGCCGGGAACCCTGTGCCCCCAGGCAATGGCTCCAGCCACCTTCCCCCGGCCCCCACGTGGCCACCACCAGCCCTCAACCCATTGTGCTCCACATGTGGCCACCGTGACCACCCTCCCCGCAGCCAGCCAGAAATCATTGCCTCAGGTAACCGGCACAGTGGCACTTTTAGCTTACTAGCACCACCCATTTTTCAATTCAAAACCCTGTTAACCAGCATGAGTGAGGAATGGGCCACTCCCCACTCATGCCAGTTAACAGGGATTTAAACTGAAAAATGGTGTAAATCAGTAAAAAACAAATGACTTAAAAAAAAATCAGGGAATTTCTCAGTGAAAATTGATAAAAACCGAGAATGCAGAATACTAGTGATCCTTCATTCACTCAAAATTGGGAATTTTAATTTTTGCTGCTATGTTTGGCTACTCAGAATCCTACTTCCCATTGACCACATCATGCACATGCATGTTAGAAGAACCCCTAACCTGACCAGAGAAACAGTTCCATGCACAGCAGCAGTACACTCCTCCTCTTATACAAATAGCCTAATAGTCAGAGTACTTGCACATGATATGAGAGACTTTGGCTGCATCCACACAAGCAGGGGTGTGCCTTTACAACAGCACAAATAGTAGCGCCACAAATTTGTGCCATTATTTTGTGTCCCAGTGCACACCCCTGCCCGCGTGCTTTGCAGTGAAACACATTGTCCTGCTGTACCACATACTAGAGGGGTAGGGCTGGCTGAGGCACAGGGTGCCACAGCATGAGCTAGGCATCCCCTGCACTGAGGCACCCTGTTGTTACATCCAGTCACGCTGTTACAGGTCCCAGCCAACTGGGGAGCAGCATGTGGAGATGGGGGAACAAGCCACTCATGGCTGCCTGCTCCTCCATCTCTGCATGCTGAGGCACTCTGCACCACAGCCAGCTGCTCCCCACCTGACTGGGGCACAATGTACATTGAGATGGGGCAGCAGGCAGCCTTGGGTTGGCTGCTCCCCTGTTTCCGCATGCCTCAGTGCAGGGGCTCCCTTGCAAAGCCCCCAATCTGAGGCATGTGGAGCCCCCACACTGACGCACACTGGACCTCATTGCAGGTACTCCACGTGCCACAGAGCAGGGCCTCCACAGTGGAGTCCCCATGCTGAGGCATGCAAAGACAGGGGAGCAGCCAGTTCAGGGATGGCGGCTCCCCCATCTTGGACTACACTGCACCCAGGCTCCTCAGTGTAGTAAATTAGCAGTGCTGAGCACTGATTACTGTGAAACTCGTGTGTTTTGTGGTGCTGCAAGGAGATATGCAGCACCACAAGCCACATGTGCCTGCACATATGGATCCAACCCTCGATTCCAAGCCCTTTCTCAGCCTTACATCTGGATTTTTAAGAATGCCAGATATTTGATATCCAGATTCTTGAGGTTATACTGTAATATGAAGTTTCAAGTTTTACATAATCAGTTGTTTAAAATGAAGAGGACTTTTGAAAGTGGATGTCAGAAGAGAAAAAGAAGCAGCTGATTGAAGGGCAGCTAAAAACAATTACCAAAAGTAGACAGTTATTTCACTGTAATAAAGGAGGGACCTCATAATCAAGAGAGTCAGCCAGGACCACAGCAACCACAAGCATCCACCTCTTCTACTAGGATAGATTATACAGATGTGAACATGACTACTACACCTGAGAATGTTACAGAGCCTGAAATCCCAGCTGAGGAAAGCCCAATGATCTTGGTCTCTGGGGTGTTTTGACTGAGGATGATATTTCATTCTGGATACAGAAAGGTACCTCAGAGTGTCAACATTGGAACAGCCCATTTGAGAAATTGAAGCGGCCATTCAAAAACCAAATTAGATATTGTTCAAATGGTCTATATGTGTGGTGGGCCAGTAGGGGGTGCTCCTGTGTTGAGTCACCCACCTCACTGTGCCCAACCACCTTCCAGGCTCCAAGTGCCTCCCTGGGGGCACCTCATGTCTGGCCGACCCCCTTCCTGAAGCACACCTGCTAGCCTGGAGGTAGAGCTGCCACCACCAAGGGATGGGCTTGATTCTGGTTCTGCACCCCCTGGGAAACACAGGCCTAGTAGCCCTCGAGGGTACTTGACTCACTTCAAGAACTTGGGGTGCTTCCCTCAGTCGGAAGCACAAGTAATGGTCTCCCTTAGTCAGCCGAACCAAGGGGACCCTAAGGCATAATCTAGACACACTCCCAATAAGTCTCCCACACTAGGTACAAAAGGAGAACTTTATTGGTTAGAAGGAGTAGGGTTAGAATAGGGTACAGAGTTGAGTAGTATCAGAGAAATCCCATAGAACAAACAGGGTGGCTGGAGTAGCCTTTGATCAGACATCTGAGTTACTGCAAGCTATGTATCTAGTTAGATCTCGGGTAGCTTACTCACAAGTATCCTCCAGAGGCAGGTGGAGATTCCCTCTGGAGGCAGGCAGTTCCTTGATCATGACTTTTGAGAGAGAGACCAAGTTTCAGATGGTCCGGCTCTTCTGTCTCTCTGAGTTTTCCTCATGGCTGCTGCTCCCCTCCCCCTGGCAGTCCTTAACTTATATAGCCCTTATGACCTCATTTACCTGGTCCAATGGAGGCCAGCACCTGTTGGCTGTCAGCCAACCAATTTGAAATGTATCACTCATTGCTGAGCAGACTGGCAATGTCTAGTCCACCAGGGAGCCCAAGCCCCTCACCCAGGTATGTGATGTCAGTCACGTAGGCAGAGGGAGTAGGTTTCCCCCCTCCCTCAGGAATGTATCCAGCTCAGGTTACCTAAAGACATAGGGTAAGGTGTGTACCCTCCGCAGGACCCAAATTGTCACAGAGCAGAGTTTTTGGGGAGAAACAGAGGTGGGCCTTCTGCCACAGTCTATATCATTCAATGAAAGTTAATGCTGAAAAATACAATTGGGAGTGGCTAGTCTCCAACAACCGGTTGTGTTTACTGTTTTGTCTGCAAGCTCTTCTCAACATCATCAACAGCACTGGCTACTGATGGGTTTAATGACTGGCGAAACCCTGTTGGAATTCAAAATCATGAGAATTCTGAGGATCATAGAACAGCTTTGCTTACATATTTAATGAAGCAACGTGGGTTAACCCTGGATTCACATCTGGAGGAACAGATGAAAAGCGAGCAACAGTACTGGTGGCATGTACTTGAACGTGTTATTGCAGTTGTGTGCACATTAGCAGAAAGTGGATTATCTTTTAGAGGAAGAGGGAGGAAATCAAAAGTTTGGCTCACCATGTAATAGGAACTTCCTTGGCTTGATAGAACTCATTGCTGAGTTTGATCCATTTCTTGCAAACCATTGAAAACATTATGGAAGCGTGGATCTGGGAAACCTTCATACTTGTCTAAAACAATATGTGATGAACTCATCCAGCTTACGGCAAAAAAGGTAAGAGGATCTATTTTGGATGACTTGAGAAAAGCAGGATACTTCAGCTTATCTGTTGACTATACACTGTGCGGGCCGGGAGCGGTCCGAGGCTTTCGGGGGCGCGCGGCGGGCTGTGGCCAGCAGCCCTGGCACGTGGGTCAGGGAATTCGGCACGGCGGGCTAGAATTAGGCACAGACGCGTAGCGGTTGATTAAAGATTATTTTACTTACACCATAGATGGTCGCGGTGCAGGCAGGAAAAATTTCGCTTAAGTTTCAGTTACAAACGAAAAGAAAACTCGCACGAACAAGACCCGTAGAAAACTCGAGCCTCTTAAACCCGGAAAGAGCTCTGGATACACACACACACGAAGTTTGCTAGGCTCCGTGGACTGAGCGCACAGGGAAGGGTACGTCGAGGGATCAGGCGGCGATGGGGAGAGGCTAGAGGTTGATCAGGCCCCTGTATCCTCCTCTAAGGCACACACAGGGTTTGTTAAGCTCCACAGCGCTTAGAGTTCTCCACGAGATGGATGTGGAGTCCTCCTAAATGAGGTCCTCCCCGGAGATCTCCAACTTGGGCGGAAACCGCTCAAGCCTCTTATACGGCTAGCAAGCCAATCGCTAGCTGCCACGTGGGAATAATTTAGAAACAGCCAATAGTGGGACACAAATTTACATACGGGTGGCGGGAACTCCTTTGCACCGGGGTTTTCTCTATGCAACTGAGAATTGCACCGTGCAAAGAAAGCTCCTCGTGGCAGGAAATAATTCTGCAGTGCCGAAGCACACACACAATCATACCCTTTGGGTCATGACATACACCAGATCTTTCACATGTTGATCAACTAACTGTTATTGTAAGATATGTGTCACCCGATGATGGTTTTCCAATTGAACGCTTTCTAACTTTCCTTCAATTAGAAAATCATAGTGGTGAAAGTATGGCCAACATAGTGCTGGATTATCTAGGCAATGACTGCAAAGTTGACTTCAGTAAGTAGAGAGGACAGTCATATGATAATGCAGCCAACATGAAAGAAATGTATAATGGCATGCAGCAAAAACTTCTGGAGAAAAATAAGTATGCTACATATATTCCATGTGCTGGAAATTCACTCAGTCTTGTTGGCTGAGCTGCAGTTGATGGCTGCCTAGATGCAGTACATTTTTTTGCTGTTGTGCAACAAATATACACATTCTTTTTTGCCTCTACAAAACGCTGGGCTGTGCTCCAATCATTTTTGGGTCCTGATTCCACAGTACCAAAACATATCTCTGACACTAGATGGGAAGCACATGCAAAAGCTCCTTCAGCCATAGCTGAGAGTTATGATTCAATTATTGATCCTCTTACTCATATTCATGCTGATGACAGTGAAAAAAGTGATACAAGGAGAGAAGCTGGCATTCTTTATGAGAAAATGGAGGAATTAGAGTTTGTGTTCATGTTAGAACTTTGGAATTGTTTGTTAGATCAGTTCCACAAAACCAGCAAGGCCCTACAGGATACACAGATAGCCCTTAGTACATGTGCAAAGCTTTACACATCACTCTCTCACTTCTTCAAAAGAACCTGAGAAAGTTGTGATGAAATTGAACTCGAAGCAAAAGAAAATCTGTCTGATGTACACTACAAGTGTGTGAATAAAAGGAAAAGAAAGAAAAAAACAAGTCAATGATGGTGTTGCACCTAATGCTGATGAAGCACTTTTTCCAAGAGACAAATTTTGAGTGAAATCCTTTATTCCTACGATGGATGCACTTGAAACCAACTTGAAGAAAAGAGCAGTCATATATGAAAATTTTGCAAAAAAAAAAATTGTTTTGGTTGATTTAGATGCCTTGGAAAAACAGCTGTGTGAAGGTGTAAAGTTTCTGGTGAAAGACTATCCTGACAATGTTGATGTTAACCTTGTTGGACAAATAAGCACTTCCATGCTTATATCAAGCATAATTATTCAGATAAAGGACATTTATGCCACCAGGACCTGTATCAAGTCATCATCCAAGATAAGATTCAGTTGGCTTTCCCTAATGTAGAAGCAATATTAGCAAAATTTCCCTAATGTAGAAGCATTAGACTCTTTTTGAGTCTAATGGTAACAAACTGCTCAGGAGAAAAACACCAAATATAAACTGTGAACAACAATGCTGTAAGAAAAGCTGTCTGCACTAAGCATTATGTGCATGGAAAGTGATAAACTTCATAGCTTATCATCTGAGGACATCATCAATGACTTTGCTCTCCAAAAATCACAAAAGAATATGATTTAAATTTTATGTGATGTGCAAACAGACATAGTACAGGTTGTATTGCTGCTTCCATTTAGTAAGTATTTCATAATGTAAATAGGCTTATTGCAAGTTATATGTTTTAGTTAGATTATTAGTTTTTTGTTACACCTTTGCCTATGAATATATGCAAATATAAAGCTTTAATATTTCTATTTTCATTGTCCCTTCTGTTAGAATAATATACATTTTTTGGTAATGCTATGAGGCCTCTTAACATAGCTTAGGGCCCCAGCATGTCATAATCCGTCCCTAGCCCTAAACCCTAAGCTATGGGACAGATATGACTAGGAGCACCTTCCACTCTCCTCTTAAAGTTATCTCACTGAACAGCCAAGAAAGGAATCATCACTGGACCAGAAGAAGAAGAAACAAAAGGAAGACCAAGAAGGAACAGAACCAGAAACAGCACTATAATGAGGACTGCCTCTCAAAGGCTTTCCAAAAAGTGCATTCTGGGCATCTAGTCCAACCCCACAGGCAGGGAGTAGTAAGTCTCAAGCAGATTGAACACCATATAGAAAAGCCTGCTCTCTGCCCTGAGTGCTGTTTAGGCGGTTTTTCTAATGACGCAGTTACTCAAAGTGCACAAAAAACAGTAGAGAGGCTCCCTCTACTCAAACAAGTTACTTTCCTGAGATCCAGAATCAGGCTTCTTCTGGATTGTTCTCCTATCCCTAAAATGTTTTCTCTCTTGGCTTTCATCAGCCTACCCTCAACTGAAAAGTGTTCTCAGTTCTGTGAGGCCAAGTAATTAGGCCACTATTCTGTGAAGTGGGAGACCAGGGTTCATGTACTCTCAAAGGGAGTAAGCCTTGAATATGGGTCCCCCAGTCTCCCCATCAGGGGATGTGCTCGAATTACTAGGCAGGTGGGATGCAAAGATGAAATGCAATAGTGCTGAACAGTTACTAGTTGTAGGTTTTGATAGACTTATTTTAAGAGCTTATGCTGCATCTCAGCACAACCATGCAGTGTAGATGTTCCTAGGGCAGCAGTAAATTACTTCCAGATCTACACAGTAGGGACACACTTAGTTGCATAGGACAGAACTGTAGATACATAAGGCATTTTGTCATGCCAACGTGATGCAAGCCATTACACAAAGCAAAACAGAATTACTTACACACCTAAAAGCTGCATGTTATTTAGGGGTATTATCGTGACATAAACGTTGGCTCATAATGTACATGTGTATTTCAGCATGCATTTGTATGTTTTGGCTATCCAAATATTCAGATTCAGACTCACCAGTACAAGAAATATGGGTCTCTTCTGCTCGGTTATTACATGACTGAGGATCCCATGATTTTGATGGGCACTGCCAAAGGGATTGGTGATTTTCATGGCATCCAATGTGGTCCAGCCACATGGGGCCAGAACCTTTGCCATATGCAAAATCTCTTGCAAGGTCCCCTCCATCTCCGCATCCCAGCTGTCTGCATATAATTGCTGCAGTGACTCGAGTCATCTGATTGGAGCAAATGCTCCCCCATCTACCATTGTAGAAAACCTCCAGCCGCCCGGCACAGCCATCACCATTTACTAGCCTCAGATCCGTGAACTCTAAAAAGAAATGGACAAAATGGAATATTTGGTCTGATTATAAGGTGAAACATGTACTGGAGGGACATGTCTGAGTAAGTGGGGATAACAAAGCAGGTGCTCCCAAGGCTTGAGGGGCCCGATCCTGCCCAGGAATTTCCAGGGTGCGCCCCAGGGTTTGAGGGGTCTGGTCCTGTACCCTACATGCTCTTCCACCATAAACAGACATGGACCACAAGAGAGCAGCCTAATTTATTACTATGAAAAAAGTTTATGGTAACTCAAAAGTGACATCTGTTTCCATCCTTCTAGACACTGCAGGCTCATTATAAATACAAGGGTCACCTCTGAAAAGTATCTATGCACGTGAAGAGATATAGCAGTGACTGCTCCTTCTCACACTAGAGAAAAGTATGAAATTGCCAGTACCTGTACGTGAGAATTGATAGGAAATGATATTTTTCACTAGGTGTGCATTTTGATGGTCTTGGTATACAGATAGGTAGTAGAGGGGCAGAGACAGCTCTGGAGAATCTCTCTTATTCTCAATTATTTCCACCAGCATCAGCAAGTTTCCTTAATTCCATGTAACCAGACTCATGAAAGCAGTCTCAGAACTCACCTGAGCAAAGCACTCCTGCATCCTCCCTGTGTCTGCAGTTGTGCTCACCCCATCCCCTGGAAGGGCACTCCCAGAACTTGGATTCACTCCCAGTGCAATTCACATCATCCAGCCAGATCTGCCCTGAGCCTCCTCCATAATGAGCAGAGAGAGCTGCCTCGATTGCATGTCCACATCCCAGCTGTTTGCAAACTACATCAGCATCTGACTTGTCCCAGAAATCATCACAGACTGTTCCCCAGATGCCCTGGTAGTAAATCTCCACTCTCCCAGCACAGCGACCTGGCCCATTTATCAGTCTGATCCTCCTGCTTTCTGAAAAGAGAAATCCCAACTATTAAAATAACTGAGCAGCTTCCTTGCAAATCGAAGGCACGATAATGGCTAATATTCTGAAATGGATGTAATCACTAGGGCTGTGCAAAGCTTCAGGTGGTGATTTGATTCGGAGGAGATTCGGCCCAATTCCGTGACCAAAATGCCAAATATGAATCCAATCAGGGGACCAGTTTAAAGGTCCAAATCGATTCAAAGCTCTCCAAAGCTTCAGGAAAGATTCAGAGAGCTTTGATGATTCGGACAGTCCCCAGTGGCTGCAGCAGGGAGCTGCAGCCAGACTCTGAGCTGGTAAGTAGACGGAGGGGGAGGAGGGTTTGGGGGAGGTGGGAGGGGACCATGGGGGGAACCCTGCCAGCCCCATCCCCTCCCTGCTCCCTCAGGCCCCACAACTTCCGCCTTTTCCCCCAGCGTCCCCATGGCTGCCCCGATCCCCCCCTTCCGGCAGGAGTGGTGTGTCCCGGGGTTTCTTCAGGTTTTTTTTTTTCTTAAAGGGCCAGAGCTGACCCATGCAGGGCTCCTATTGGGAGGCTGTGGGAGTGGAGAGAGGGTTCAGGGGCTCATGCAGAGCCCCCCCTACAGGGTGGGGCAGTGCAGGGGAGCGGGGGCCCCCGCCCGGCAGCACCTGCTGAGTCAGGACCTTTTTTCCCCCCAAGTGCCAGGAGCTGGGGTGGGCGGGGCGGCCATTGCTGGGCTGGGAGAGGGGCAGGGGATGGGCCTGGCCTGGGTGATTTGGAGAGTCAACTGCTGCTGAATCTCCAAACTATATTCAACTGAATCGAATCAGGACAGCGATTCGAATCACCGAATCGAATCACTGTCCCCCGAATCGGCCGAATCCAAATCCGAAGCGAATACTAGCTGCTTCGCACATGCCTAGTAATCATTTGTCCTTAAAAAAAAAATCCTGGATAGAAGAAAAAACTAGAATATTTTCAAAAAGGTTATAAAGCACCAAGGGTAGTCAAGGAATTAATTATTATTATCAGTTAGCAAATCTCCCTAAAGCTTTAATTTATATTAAATTGTTGAAGAATTTGGGAGGTACTTGTGGTACAGAAGATTAAGGAAGGCAATTATAATATCAGTTTGTTATAGGCATAAAGTGAAAAAGGTTATATCTGACTTTTGTCAGCAGAGCTATGGGTGATGAGTATGAAAAAGCCACAATATAGCCAAAATAGCTATGTTGTCAAAACTATTGCATGGTATAGATGATATCATTCATGGATGTGCTTTAACAAAATTGGAAAACAACTATTTGCTAGTGTAAGCTGACTCTCCACAAGGAGCTTTGTACAGTGATTTAGACAGAACCCTTATAATGTGGACTAACCATAGGGATTGAGTGCTACTCCCATTGAAGCCAAGGGCAAAACTTCCTCTGACACAGGAACTTGAATAGGCCCAAATGCACTCTAGTTACATAGCAGTTTAAATCTTCATGGAGAAAGGAGGTCAGCTGGAAGGAGGTGGGGGGCAGGAAAAACATTACAGTGCAAGAGGGCTGGAAGCTTCTAAAGGGCACCAGGACCGGACATAGGCATGGGCGAACTGGACGGCTGCCCGGGGCCTGAACAGAAACGGGGGGAAGAATGGTAATTTTTATTATTATTATCATTATCTCTAGCGAAGTAGGGCCCAATACTAAAAGTTCGCCCAGGGCCACCAGGAGTCTAGGTATGGTGCTGAAGGGCACAATATTGGAAGCCCAACAAAAAGCTGTTCCAAAACAATGGAAGCACAAAAAGAATGGTAAGAGGCCCATGTGGCTGCACAAAGAGCTTTTATGATGCCTTAAATGCAAAAGGGAAACATACAGGCAAGGGAAAGACAGACATGTCACCAAGGAAGCATACCAGGAAACAGCAAGAACTTGCAGGGACAAAATAAGGAAGGGAAAGGTAAAAACTGAACTGTGCCTGGCGGGGGAAGATAAACCCAACAAGAGGTTCTATAAGAAAGACCAAGGAAGCTGAGGGTTCGCTAGTAACTAGTCAGGGGGAACTCTTAACAAAAAATGCAAAGAAGCCAGAGCTGCTCAACAGCTACTTTGTTTCAGTCTTCACACAAAATTTAGGCTGCAACAAGCCACCTAATAAGAATGATTTGCATAAGGAAGGGGACAAGCTGAAGGATTAGATCACAAAAGAAACAGTCAGAGTGCTTTGGTGGGTCTAAATGAATTCAAGTCAGCAGGGCCTCCTGAATTTCATCTAAGAATACCAAAGGAACTGGCAGAAGAGATCTCAGAGCTTTTAGCAATAATATTAGCAAAGTCATAAGAGACAGGCAAGGCACCAGTGGACTGGAAAAGGGCCAACATAATGCCCCTCTTTAAAAAAGGCAAAAAGGAAGACTCATAGAATTATAGCCATACCTCCATACCTGGGAAATTACTGAAATCCATTTGCAAGCATCTGGAGAAGAAAAAGCTGATCACAAGCAGTCAGCATGGATTTACTATGAACAAGTAGTGCCAAACAAATATGATGTCTTTCTTTAAGAAGACAGCTAATTGGGCGGATGACAGGAATGGAGTGGATGCAGTGTATCCTGACTTCAGCAAGGCTTTTGACAAAGTCCCACGTGACCAACCATCTCATAAACAAATCAGAGAAATGTTGGCCAAATGTTGAGAAACTACTATAAAACAATTTGGCTCAATATTCATAAGCAAAGGGTAATTATATATGGGTCCATCTAGGAATAGCAGGAAAAACTGAATGGATTCCCACAAGTAACTCTCTAGGGTCAGTGTCATTTAGTATATTTATTAATGATTTGGATGTGGCATAGAGTTTCTCAAGCAAATTTGCAGATAACACAAAGCAGGGGAGGATTGTGAACCCACTGGAGGATGGGAGTGCAGCTCAGAGGGATTTTGACAAATTAGAAAACTGGGCTTAAGTACACATTATGAAGTTCAGTGCTGAAAATGCAAGGTGCTACACCACAAGAAGAATAAACAAAAACAAAGTTAAAAAAAAGGTGACACATGGCTGTATGGCAGTACTATGGAGAAGAATCTGGGAATATTGAGTGTGCAGTGTGATGCATCTGCACAAGAGGCAACAGTGCTTCTTTACTTGGTACTGGTTAGACCTCACCTAGAGTATTGTGGGTGTGTCTACACAAAATGCTATGTTGCTGAAGTAATGAGCTATGGTGACATAGCTCATTGCTATGGTGATGTAGCATTGGTGGGCACAAACTGTGACACCGATGCTATGTCGCCATACTAAATGCGCAGACCAGTGTGTAGGGGCATGGCCAGTGTGTAATTTGGGGCTCCACATATGGAGAAGCTGAAGAAGGTTCAGAGGTTAGCAACAAAAATGGTAAATGGCTTGAAAGACAAGCCATACAAGGAAACGTTAAAGAAATAGACATGTTCAGCCTATGGAAAAGGCACTTAAAAGGAGACATGATAGCAGTCTTCAACTAACTGAAGGCCTGCCAGAAAGAAAAGTGAGAATACTTTTTTTTTCTGTTGCTGCAGAAAGCAGGATGCAGACCAATGGCTTGAATCTGTGGCAAAGTAGGTTGTGATTGGGTCTGAAGCAGAGGGTGTGGACCTCTTCCTTGGATCTCTAGAACCTATTTTAACCTTGTAGCAACATGACACTGCCAATCATTGTCCCCCTATTTTGGCTGTAACAGGTTAGAGTGCTATCTATGCCTTGTAAATTATGTGACAGCGTTGACAGTGTAATTTTAGTACTAGGTTGGACAAGGATTTGTATGGGATGGTTTGGATAGGGATGATGCTGCCTCAGACAGAGGAATTGGACTATATAACTTTTTTAGGTCCCTTCTAGCCCTACTTTTCTTAAAAATTATGACATGATTCTATGTACCAGTAGGTAGACACCAAAAAAATCTTTTAATGCAAAGATCCCAGTGCTATAATTCAATGCTTATTTTACTGTGTGCTTTTAAATTAATAAATTTGCCAGGATATAATGACAGATGTATCTATTACACAAGTAACACACAATCAACAGCAAAAAAGGGTCCCATCAGAGAATTCTTAGTTATTTTCTTTTCAGTGAAGCAAATTACATTATAAGACTGGACATAGTAATGTCACATCATCAAATCTAGTTTTATTTAATTCCTGAGTAACTGAGCCAGTATCAATGACACTCTTGTGCTTCCTTGCCCTTTCGGATTCTGGAAAGCACATTATTTAAGATTTTCCTAATAAGAAGATATCACACTTATTAAAACTGCTTAGATAACTGGTTCTTTTTCCTAGGGGGAAAAATGACACAAATAAGTAACTTTCATCTGTATTATGCTGTAGTCTTTTAAGAAAACCTGAACATTTACGAGGAAAACAGGCTGCTTATGAATATTAACATCCCTTGTAAAGATTTTTCACATGAAAAAAAGTTTCAATAAAATATTTTTTCACCAAATCTAAGTATAAGAAGGAGATCTTGCTTAGGTTCATAAGTCCTATGCTATTGATTTTATAATAAAATACATGCATTTATTTCCATATAGGCCAAAGCATATGGCCCTGGGCTCCACATTCTGTTTGCAATCTGGTGAGCTCACAGCAAGCCCTTGGGATGGCTACATTCTTACCAGTGAGAGCATGTTTGTAGGATTTTCAGGGTAAGTCACCTGAGCAAACAACGCCAACATCCTCAGTGATTCCTGCTTGCCTTGTCTCAGACAGAAAGGGACTGCAGAGCATCAGATGAGACTCATTTCCTGCACACTGGACATTTCTCAGCCCTACGGGGCCTGTCCCTCGTTCATATTTCAGGGGGATATAGACTTTTTCAGCAACTCCACACTGGAGCTGCCTGCACACCACACTGGCATCCTTCATGTCCCACTGATCATCCAGGACTCTGCCCCACATGTCGCCAAAGGCAATCTCAACTCGCCCATCACACCGGCTTTCTCCATTCAACAGTCTCAGTGACTGAGAGTGACCTAAGCTCAGGAGAAATGGGAAATGCACACAATAAAACACATTATTCTTATCCCATTAGAAATAATGTACAGGTGTGAACTGAAAGACAGGTTTCTATGTATAGGAATATAAAACACGGAAAAAACACCTGGTCATTGATCTGAATCCACCACAATTGTAGGTAACCATATAATACATGTTAAATCCAACACAGTTGACAAGAACATCCATTCTGACAACACACACACCCCCGCCCACATGTTATAAACCACAAAAAAATCTCAACACACTGTAACAAACCTAAACCTTTATGACAAAAATTTAAAAACCTCAAAACACAATGTATCACAGGAAGAAAGCAGGAGAGACCATCAGAAATGTCAAGATCAGGATCTCCTGCTATAAAAAGGAATAAATTAGGTAAAATATTCCTAGAGGATCCCCTGAAGGAAACCACACTTATATGTAGAATTAAGGCAAGCACACAAACAAACAAGTAATGACCCTGGCCAATCTAAGCAGAGAGAAAGTCTTTCCTTACCACATATCCAACAAGCAGTTTGAACCTGAATACATGAACAAGAGACACTAACCAGACAACTGCAAGGTTTCTTAATGCCACCAAAACCAGTCATATACCCCACTGAAACTCCCATCTCTAGTATGGTCAATCTCTGTTTCAGATGAAGACAAAGGAAAACAACACAAATAGAAGAAAAGTATGCATTAGTGTGGGAAAAGGCAGGCAACCAGTGGAATCAAAAGATTAATTAAATTCAGTATACACATGGTGCAACAAGTATTATAAAGCACTTTAAGAGATCAAGGGGGAAAGGATAACACAGGAACCTGGAATCTTATATGAAGTGAGCCAAATCCTAACCTCCTTTACTTGCACACACAAGTCAAATAATTCCCCACATTGTAAACCAGGACCATCAAACATGGTCCACGGGCTAGATACAGTAACTCCCTAAAACCCTTGGGGCTCTGAGTGGACTAGGGAATTTAGGAGCAGGACTAGCTGCGGGGCAGAGCCTACTGCAGAATCTAGGACTACAGCGCCCTGTTGGATATAGCTGTTGCTGGCAACAGGGTGAGCAAGAGCTGTGCTGACACAGCCCTTCTTGCCCTGCAGTCACTTGGCCTGATGTTTGCACTGCTGCCACCACCAGTTGTGCTGCTGCCACAGCCTCTGACCCTGGCACCACCACCACAGCTTCTTGCCACACTGATCTGTTCACAGTTCACAACCCTCTGTCCTCCCGTGGACTCCTGCTTTCTCTCTCCAGCACCCTCAGAGCCTCTTTCCTTCTCCACAAGCACAGAGCAGCGCATGAGCAGCAGAATTGTTACAAAACTACAGCAGTCAACCAAGGGACTAACTTACCCAATAAAAAGAAACAACATTATCGGGAGCCAATCAGAGAGCACTTTCTAGGGCCTGCTGCTAGACCCAGACAGACATCTTCTCTTGGAATAAAAAAGATATCTAGATGTTATACTTACAAAACTATTTACAGCAAAGTGCGCTCACATCAAGCCCCACAAAGTATTCCCTGCAGGATTTCCAGGCTATAACGCAGCCCACTTAGCCTGTCTGTTTGCATCATACAACTCACCTGAGCAGATAACACTGGCTGTTTCTCTTGGAGAGCAGGAGGGATTGCCCAGTGCAGCGTGAGCACAGTCCCATAGGCAGGACTCAGTCCCTTCGCAGTGAAATACATCTCTCCATAAAGTTCCATCCCCTTCCCCAAAATGGGCACCTCTCAGTATTGACTTGGCATCACCACACCTCAGCTGACGGCACAGGACATGGGCAGCTTGCAGATCCCATTGGGAACCACAGAGGGTTCCCCATGTGTCTCCATATCGAATCTCTACTCTCCCAGAGCACTCGGTGCCATTCACTAACCTTCCACCTGGGCATCCTGAACACAAGGGAAAATGAGTGTCAAAGTGCATGCGGGTAAAAATGAGCAATCATGGCATAGGAAGCGAGAGGGAAACTGGAAGGATTTCTCTTTCATATTCAGGAGTAGAAGTTATTCTACTTGGGCATACCAGCACATAAACACACTGATTCTTCACCACGTTACTCAGTGAGAAAGGAAGACAAAGGACTTTAGTTCTCATGGTACATTACCTATAGAACTGTAGGTTGCAAGAGATCTGGCTGGTGCAAGAGCTTCAACGCAGGAAACACTTTGTGTCAGATCACTCTGACAGCCTGGCCCTGTCTCTAGGGTTGCCAGCTCTGTTCAAATCTATTCTGGGAGGTTTCCAGAACACCAACATACCCACGACAATGTGAACGTGCCCACACTCTTGCATATATCAGTTATGGGTTACCGTGCATAGACTTTACACAGGAAGGCAAATGCACATTACAATTACATTTTAAAAACCCACTGGACTACTATATCATTTGGATTCAACATTTAATATTTATTTTAATGAATCATTTATCTCCTGGGTGACTCTCGGCAGTCTTCTGGAGATTTACATCTCATTCCTGGAGACTCCAGAGCAATCCTGGAGGGTTGGCAACCCTACCTGTGCCTCTGTAAAGCGCAGATTTTCTTCCTTCCTGCTGCTGCTTACCTGAACACACCACACTGGCTGCACTCCCACGGGGACACTCTGCAGCACCCAGCGCAGTCACAAGACAGTCCCTCCTGCGGGATTCATCCCTTTCACAGCCAAAGGTGCCATTCCAGACAGGCCCATCTCCCTTCCCAAAGAGCTCCCTTCCTGGGATTGATAAGGCAACTCCACAGTCCAGCTTCTGGCAGAGGGTATTGGCAGCCTGGAAATCCCACTGGGAGTCACAGAGGGCTCCCCAGGTGCCCCCATGACGAAGCTCCACTCTCCCTGAACACCTTGTGCCATTTGCCAGCCTGTATCCTCCATATCCTGAGGAGAAGGAGAAGGGAGCTTAGCAGCAATGTTTTGCTAAAATAATTATCCCCAGAAATGCATAGAAGGAGGCCCAGTGATCTGGGATCAGTAATAATTATTTCCCAAGATAACAGTGAATTTCTTAAATCAGGGCCTACAGACTATTATCAGGCACTGATTGCCTGTCTTTCTTTCCCTGTTAGTTCCAAGAATAAGTAAGAAGATTGTACAGTCATTCTTTCTAGCAGCTGGGACCCTAAAAAAGGTACAAAGATCTCTGGGAAGGATACAGTAGAAAAAGACAGAAAGGAAAGGAAAGATGCTAAATATCCCATATGTTGGGAATATATTATTTATATTTTAAATCCATTGTCTTTCCTTCTTACCTGAGCATATAACACTGACGTCATCAGAGTGGGAGCATGTCATATTAGGAAGGAACACCCTGTGGCAGTGTGTGAGGTGAGACTCATTCCCCATGCACTGGAATTCTTCCTTCCAGATCAGATCATGTCCTTCTCCAAAGTGAGCTCCTCCTAGGGGGGCTAGAGCCCATCCACACTCTAATTCATTGCAGATGACAGTAGCAGCTTTGTGATCAAAATGTGAATCACAGACTGTCTCCCAGCTTTTTCCATGTTCTACTTCAACACGTCCTGAACAGGTAGTGGCTCCTCCAACCAGCCGAAGCCCAGTAAATCCTAGAGAGGAAATAAATGTACCAATGAAAAGAAGCTATACTGGCATCTTATGATATTTCATACACTCTCCCCTGAAGAAAAAGAAGGCATTCTCTTTTTCTCTCAACAGAATGTCATACATTCAACATATTGTCTAACTTTATTCCAACTGCATAGTTCTCCCAATAAAAGAAATCACCCTAAGGGTTCATCTGCATGTTCTATTAATTCAAAGCTGGCTTACTGCACAGTAAAAATACTGTACAAGTTAGCCTACCCAGGTGCAGACCTACACATGCTCCTTCTTGGAAGCAGATTTGCTCCTGCCCTGCTCTGTCCCCTGCATCAGCCAGAGGGAGCTCCAGGTTCCCTCTGGGTACTAGCCTGGAGGTTGGCAAGGAGCACAGGGCTGGTCCCCATGCAGACAGGGCCAGGAGTGGTCTGCTGGCTGCAGTAGCAGCTGTCTCTTGGCCCCGTAGAAATCAGAAGGGGTCCTGATGTGCATAGGGTTGGGAGACAGCTGCTGCTGTAGAGGTCTCCAGCCCCATGTACATGGGGACAAGTCCTGTGCCCAGCAGGGCTTCCCCACATAGCCCAGAGCTGGCTGGAACTGTCCTGCTTCTGGAAAGCCTGGATCTGGCTGGGACTTGCCCCTCCCCCACAGCTCTTTCCCAGCCCCCTGCCTCAAAATCAGGCAATTGGGGCATAGGACTGGGAAAGAGCTGCAGGGGAGGGGTAGGTCCCAGCTTCCTGCCCAATCCACCAGTGGAACAGCTAGCAGTGAGCTCCTAGCTAGGTGGGGAATCCCTGCTCAGCCCAGGGTGGCCAGGAGCCATCCCACCAGTGGATGGAGACCCTGTCAATCCCTGGCTGATTGGGGATTTCCCACCCAGACAGGGGCTTGCTGTTAGCTGCCCCACCAGTGGGAAGCTCCCAATCACCCCGGGCTGAGCAAGGATTCCCCACCCAGCTGAGGGCTCACTGGTAGCTGCTCCACTGGTAGATCTCCAATCCCAGCACTGCTCAGCTCCCCACTCCTGTAGGGAACCATGAGCCCCACAGTGCCAGAATGGGGGCAAGAAGGGCAGAGAATGACCCTGAACAGTGCCAGGGCTGGGTTCCTTGCTGGTGTGGCTGGCCAGGAATAAATTTGCTCCTGGTCAGAGTCTACACAAGCTATTGCACAGTATCTACTGGACAGTTAATTTAGTACCTGTATTTACAGGTACTAGCTAACTGTGCAGTAGACTAATTTACTGGGCAGTATTTTATTAGCACAGTTACTTGATCATGCTTTACTGCAGGGTAGATTAGTATACTGTACAGTAAAGTGTCTCATGTAGATACACCCTAAGAAATCCTTGCCTCTCAACAGTAAAGAAACTTTTAAACAGGCAAAGCCTTTTTTCCTACCTGTGGTAATTCCTCTGTGACACAGAAAGGGCAAACCCTTATTTGACTTTCATGTTTGCCTAAGGATCACATAAATAGCCAAGTAACTGCAATTTAGCACTTTTGCACCAGGTGGAATAGGATCACCCTGCACACACATTTTCTGGATTTAAGGTGGAGGCGGGAGAAGCACGACAGCATTGCCACCTCTTAACCCAGGGTATAAGCTCCTCGTAGGAAGTTTGAACCTGACTCTCCTTCCTCTTCACAAAAGTGCTCTAACCACAAGACCAAATGGTAAGCATTGTTTAAAGGAGGGCTGTCTATCTTCAGTATGGCCAGAGGCTGCAGGCAATACTAACATGCAGCCCCTGGGCCACACACTGTACAGGCCACATTTGGTTGGGGCAGCCCTCTCCCTGGATCCACTCCCATCATATAGATTGCACTGCTGGCATATGGCCACCAGTAGGACAGCCTTGGCCTGGCTCAGAGTATTTTCTAGTCCTCCTCTGGAAGTTAACTGACTGAACAATCAAGAGAAAAAGTTATAGGCAGCCAGCAGGACCCAAAGCCAGCGGGTCAGTGAGAGGGAGCTATGCCATGGAAGGACTGAGACTACAGGTTGTAGCATGGGCCCCTGCTCCCAGTGTTGCAGAGACAATCTCAGTGCTGTTTACCCATTTTAACCAATGAATATTAAATACAATTTACATTGGGACAACTTCAAAAGGAGAGCTAGAGGGTCCATGATTCAATGTCGTGCCTGTAACTTTGTGGATAGAGCACTTTGCTAGGAAGTTGAAGCTTCAGGTTCAACCTTCCCCTTCCACATCCCAAGAATGAAAAGGATCTAAAAGCTACCTCTTCTGCTCCCTGGGCAAGTGCCACAGCCATTCAGGAATTAACCCGAAACCTAGCAGGACTTCCCTCTGACAACTAGCACCCTGTTAGCAATGTTTTTTGTGCAACTGGAGTTTCAGGGCTTCTACAGTGATACTTGGGGCCTTGTCACAAATGAACACTTAGAATGTGCTTTATTTATGGTTACCATGTGTCTGGATAGCCTGAGAGGGTGAAGGGTACCAGCAGGGCCAGGGGCTGCAGGTCGGGAGTGAGGGGCACTGGCAGAGCCAGGGGGCTGTGGGCGGGGAAAAAAAGTGTCCACCCGACAGGTATCCTCTCCTCTGGAACTGGAAATATGATAACCCTACTTTATTTAAATCATAATAAGTGTTACCATATCATAATAAAAGTTAGAACATGTTCTGATAAATCACATAATATTGTTTACAAGGGTCTCTAATACAGTCTCCATCTTGCTGATTGTTAGTCCCAGCCCTGGCAACACACCAGCACCTTGAACTAGCTCCTGCGAACCTGGTATTTAGTAGTTGTAAACATGGGAGGCCAGGGTCTTCAACCAGCTCCAATGCAGTCCCTAGGCTGGATAACTGTACCTGAGCAGTTCAAAACTTCAGTGATGTGCATGGCCTGGTACTAACAATCAGCTAACTGTTGGTCCCAGTCTATGGATTCACTAGAGCCAGTTCAAGACCATATCCCCGCATGTTTGCAATTCCTATAAACTGTGGTTGCACTGTACCACAGCTGATTCAAGATACCAGGGCTTGTTTGAGACTCTGGTGTGGTCCTGGGGCCTTAGTCTTCACAAATAATGTAAGCTGCAACTCAACAGCTAATAATTCCTTGGGTAAAGAGAAGACAAGCTGAGGGATGAGATAACAAAAGAGACAGTCAAAAAGCTTTGGATGGGTCTGAAAGAATTCAAGTCAGTATGGCCTGATGAACTTCATCTGAGAGGACTGAAGAAACTGGCAGAGGAGATCTTGGCACCCTTAGCAACAGTATTTACAAAGTCATAGGAGACTGGAGGCAAGGCACAAGAGGACTGGAAAAGGACCAACATAGTGCCCCTCTTTAAAAAAAAGCAAAAAGGAGAACTTAGGGAATTATAGACTGGTTAGCCTCCCCTCAAAACCCAACAATTTCCTGTCATAAAAAAGTCCATTTGAAAGCTAATCACCAGCAGCCAAGATGGACTTCCTACGGACAAATCATACTAAACAAACTTCATCTTCTACTTTGACAAAATAACTAGCTGAGTGGACGAGAGAATGCAGTGGGTATAAGGTATCTGGATTTCAGTATGGTTTTTCATGACCTTCCCAAACAAGTTGAAGAAATGTGAGCTAGATAAAACTACTACAAAGCAGAAAGACAACCTGCTCAGTAGCCACAAATAAAGGGTAATTATAAATTTAAACTGAGATCACCAGGGGACGGGCCATCAACTACTAGTACAAGCCCAAGAAATGGCAACCTTGAAACCAGTATACCAGGCTACAAAAGGAAGCATTCTCTGACACCAGCCAAAGGGCAGGTTATTCCACAGCTCACCAGGAAGCTTCAGGCCTCCAATAGCAAGCTTAGTTGCCTGTGCACTGTGGCAGAAATGCCCCTGTCAGTGCCCCTCTCCAGAGATCTGTCTCCACCAGCCTGGGAGGCTGCTGTTGAATCCCTCAGGGCAGGGATCTCCCATCTTGTCTACATGACAAAAGCCTGGCGCCTGGGAGGCGATGCTCTGGTCACCTGGGTGTGGGGGGGGGGTAAACCCGGCCCTGCGCGTGGGCCCAGGTAGCCAGGGAGGCTTTGTAGATTGGTCGGTTTGTAGCCAGTATTGGCAGCTTTGATTGGACCAGGCTGCTGAGGTCAGAAAGGTTATTTAAGGGCCCGGGCCAGGAAGAAGGCAGCCATTAGCTATGCGGGCATT